TCTGCACACACTCGCACTCATTTATTTCCAAACATAACGTGCGATAGCAATTGCATGGCATAACTGCTGTAATGAAAGCATCAAAGAAAAATCATTTGTAAAGACAATTTTTGTTAATTTTATTNTAGCAGAGAGCTGCATGGATACACTCAAATTACATTTTAAGTCACTCGCTTTCTTTTCACATCTGCACACACTCGCACTCATTTATTTCCAAACATAACGTGCGATAGCAATTGCATGGCATAACTGCTGTAATGAAAGCATCAAAGAAAAATCATTTGTAAAGACAATTTTTGTTAATTTTATTGGTTTCCTAACTGCATATTATAATGCAAAAATATCAACTGATTAAGGGCACCATCATTTGACAAAAGGTGGGATCTTTTGTCAGAAATAACATTTCCAGCAGAATAAAAAACTGGCCTGTTCGAGGCAAGTAATAAAAGCGGTATTACTGCCGAACTGATGAAAAATGGCAACATTGTTGCAACTGCCCAACTAATATTACATTCCTAGAAATTCACATAGAACGCGATACTTTAATAATTCGCGCAACAATGCGGTTGTGATTGCAACTCGAACAAGCCCACTCTTTCTGACGATGCGCTAGTTGAAGGAGTGGCTATTACTCTACGACTGAGTTTTTGCAGCAGCGGCATTTCGCATTTGTGTACCTCCCACCAATTAATTATATCGAAGTACGTATGAAAATATACCTCAATATTTTCATATCGCCGCAGCTCTGCAGTAGCTTTATCAGTTCAGCTCACAAAGGTAGGGGGTTTAAGAAGACCTGAAAACAGCTCAAAGTTGTCTGAAGGTAACAATTTGTGGTTCCGTGTAGAAATAAGCGAAATCGGCCCAATTTCATACAACCCTGCCTGACATGAAAATTTTCTCCACGATAAGGCTAGTAGCCATTTCTAACAGATTTTGGGTCGCTTAGTCAAAAATGGAAACATATATACATATTTGAAATTTAAGAAAACAAGGCAAATAGCAAAATCGGCTAAAAACGGCTAATTTTTTCTGCAAAGCGGCTAACAAATCGGCTGCCGGCTAAATCGAAATTTCTCCGGCTGTTTGCCATCGCAACCGGCTAAATCTAGCCGGAAAACGGCTAAAATGGCAACACTGCACCTTTTGTCTAAATATTTTAAAAGCGACATTTTGACTTCTGTTTTTTTGTTTATTTAATGTTTTTTAATTTTTTTAAAAAGTATGTGTAACTTATTATGTAACAAAACCCATGTAAATCGAAATTTCAAACTTTTTATAAAAATTAGAAAGGTTCAACAAAGTTTTATTAAAACTGCATTTTTTTTGTATAATAAAGTGCAAATGTGAAGTTGCTGAAAATGTTCGTTGATTTACGGTAAATCAACGAATGTTTTCAGCAACTTCACACTTGCACTTTATTATACTAAAATATAACGCGATATAAAACTGTATACCCAAAATCTTTTTAATAAGTTCTAATTAAAAAATTTGAAGTTTTAATAAAGTTTGTTGAATCTTTTTAATTTTTATAAATATTGAAATTTGGATTTATATGGGTTTTGTTAGATAATAAGTTATACAGACTTTTTTGAAAAAATTAATGAGCATTAGATAAACAACAAAACACGGAAGTCAAAATGTGGCTTTTAAAATATTTAGACAAAAGCTGTATATTTACTGTATATAATGTAACGTTTAATAGGTGCTTAATAGATACTTAATTAAAAAGAGTTACGAATTACTCCAGTCAATTTACATCATTCAGTAGACTATTGTTTGAGAGAGATGCCTCATTTACCCTGAAAAATAAAATTAAATAATATAACAAAATATTTTAATTAAACCATAAAGAGAACTTACTGGCTGGTGACTGAACGATTTCCCAACAATTTCTTCTGTCGCCACCTGTTGTGGCTCAGCTCGACACATTTGCGGAGGATTTTTTCATAGGTGGGTCGTCCTTCAGATTGAAACACACCTGTAAAGAATTACGCAGAATTCAAAATGACATTGTTTGGAACTTATGTTTATCTATTTACTTTTAATAACTTGCATTTAAGATATAGTTCGATCCATAACAGATACCATGTAAATAAGTTTCAAAGCTTACACAAAGTTCACAACAATTAATCAAATTTCTAAATATTTTCATCAAAGTTTCACATATTTTATTCCGAATTTTTTTGCTGAGATTGTTGCGCACACCCTCTGAATAAAAAGTTTGAAGTATTGAAATTTGATCGAACTATATTTTAAATGAAATTATCTCCGAAAGATTGAATTGTTGGGTGAAACGCTTGAGTAAATTTTTCTGTACTACCGAATAAAATTTCGTTGACAAGCTTCAGCTTAGTGAGCGCTTTCTTATTCTTTCTGCCATCAAAATTAAATAAAATTAATAGCTCATCCGTCAAGATCTTCCGCAACACATCGTCAACCGAACTGTTCGCTCTTTTTAACTTGAATAAACACGTTCTCTGCAAATTGGAATGTTATAAAATTATAAAATTACAAAAAAAAACAATAAAGTCTACCATTGCTTCGGCATATTCTCTTGACGTTAACTTCTCTTCAATGTCGAATGCATCGTCAATGGTTCATATAGGTAATGTAGCTGCGATTTCTAACTCAATAGGATTTTCAACTTCTCCTGTTAAACGGCCGACAGAATGCCGAACTTTGGTTAAGACCACTTTGCACTCTCGAATCGTCTGATGATGTGCCATTATAGGACCTCTATCGAGAACCTAATGTATAAAGATAACAATATGCATACAAACACCCACTAGAAAAATTTTCTTACATAGATTTTTTTTACAAAGTAACAAAAATCATAAACTTTTTATAAAAAAAGTAGTTCAGTTTATAATATGAACCATTTAAATATAAGTTTCAAACTTTTTATAAAATTAAAAACGTGTGTTAAATTTTCAGCAAAATTTAAAGCTTTTTTGTCAGTAAAAAAAAAAAGTTTTGGAATGCAGTTTTATAGCCCATTAAATTTTAGTACGATAATGTGCTGGTTTGAAGTTGCTACAAAATCCCGTTTTCTTTAATGTAGAAAAATTTAAAACATACTTTGTATGGAAGAAAAGGAGAAAGGGATTTTGGTTGCAATTACAAATCAGCACATTATTCTAAAATTTAATGGGATATATTGTTTGAAGTTTTGCTGAAAATTTTACAAAGTTTGAGACTTATATTTAAATGGTTTATATTATAGGCTGAACCATATTTTTATAGAAAATTTATGATTTTTTTGTGTGGAAGTGGAGGTATATAAAAATAATACGTTTTCATTAACCGCTTTCTCCAGAGTATCTAGCATATTAAATATTGCTTTCTGGGTTCTAAAATTGCGTTCAGAAGATCTGTTATTGCTGAAAAGTAAAATGAAGTTAAAAGAAGTCCATATTTAAAAGCGTATTTAAGTACAGAGATAAAGGGTGCATTCGAAAACGCACTCGAAAAATAGGTCTAACTTGCGCAACCTAATTGAAAATTAGCATCTAACCGTGGTTGCGCACATTTGGCATTACAATCTGCTGAGGTTAAGAAACAAAAAAGGCTGATGCTTTGTATTTTGACGTTTTCGAATGCACCCAAAATTATAAAAGGAAAAAACAATAAATTGTATGTATGTATACCTTTGTTGTTATCACTGTTTTCTTGGCGTCTTATATTATACGCTGTACCCACTTGGAAAACTTTTCTATTTGCAATAGAAAATGTTTGCACTGGAAAAAAACATGTTAATTTAAATATGTAGTTTGAATAAATTAAAATAATTTACCTTTGGGTGTACTCATCGCTGGTTGACTACTTTCTAGCACGTCGTCGTCTTCGAATGATATTTCGTGCTCCATTTTCCTTGGAAATTCAAAATATGTATTAGTAAAATTCTCAATATAAAATATACATATGTATGTACAGTGAAAAAAAAAATCACGCGATATTTTAGCAAATTTTGGCTTTTTTTTTAGTTTAGTTTAGTTTAGTTTTTATTTGGTTCACTGTATGTATGTACATTAGACTGCATCACCAAAAAAAAGTTGCGGTTTTTCCGGCGGGATTACAAAATTTATTATATTTTAAGACGTTCACCAAAATATTTGGGAAAATATAAGATTTAAGTGAGCTGGACCGATTTGAAAATACCTCCAAAAGTGGAGTTTTATATGAATAAAAATAGTTTTGTAAAGAACTTTTTGAAAAAAGTCTTCTCAGATGACAAAACAGATTAATCGTAAAAAATCTGCATAAAAATATTTTAAAATCTTTTCAACGGAATCGTAAGAATGAGATTTTTGATGCTGTTTTTTTTTTTACTTTTTCAAAGATTAATTTACGAAAAACTTGAATAACTGGGCCAAAACTATTCTGATTTAGACGTATGGGATCTCGGTAGAAAGGTATTTTCACACTGTTTTTATTTCTGTCCAAAAAAATATCATTCGTGTCGCAATTTTTTTTTTTTTCAAATGCCAACACAGCTTAATTCAACTTTGAATGACGTTCGTTCATCCTACCTTTCTCTTTCATCCTTTGAATAAGTTTATTAGCAAAGAAATAAAAAGGGTGAGAAAATACCTTTCCACTGACACCTCTTAAGTCTTAATCAGAACAGTTTAGGCTCAGTTATTCAAGTTTTTATTATACCAATCTTTGAAAAAAGTTAAAAAAACAGCATCAAAAATCTCATCATTACGATTCCGTTCAAATTCTTTTTTAATATTTTTATGCAAATTTTTTAAGCTTAAACGGTTTTGTCATTTGAGGGGATTTTTTCAAAAAAAACATTTAAGAAACTATTTTTATTCATAAAAAACTTTTGGAGGTATTTTGAAATTGGTCCAGCTCACTTAAATCTTAATATTTTTTCGAATAATTTTGGTGGACTTCTTAAAATATAATAGATTTTATAATTCCAATGGAAAAATAGTACCGATTTTTGTTTGTATGGGGAGTGATGCAGTCTAATATACATATTTATAAATACTGGAACCATTGTTTTATCTAATTACTACTAAATACTATTCTATCCACTTTAAATTGAGAACTCGTGGAATAGATTGTGAAGTATTGGTATTAAAAGAAATTTATTTTCATGCGGAATACAGAAATATTTATAGTCGATATCACTTTTGAAAATTGTTATTGCTTGATCATTTAGCCTTTGGGCTATAAGTATTCCCAACCCAGGAACAGATTCCAGTGGTTCATGGAAATAATTTTCAATTTGCTGAAAGTTATATCCACGAACCACATCCCGTCCAGACACACTTTGCATCGATAGAGCTTTGAAAGGGCCCGTTTTTCGCTGTAACAAAATGAATCCTTTTTTATGTTAACATCAAAAGAACCAATTTTTAAATTCTTTTTTTAAGGAGCATCCGAACTATAGGATTCTTGAAGTCTGAAATAAAGTTGTTGCAAAAGTTTGTTTGGCTTTTTTATGATTTTCTTCAGGTATTGCATGTAAGTCTGGTATTTATACGCTGAGAAATTCTCCAAAGGTCCAAATTGATTCATACACTGGGACAAATGCAATATGCCATGAACGTTGAAGCTTATCAAATTCTCTCCGTGGATACTTCCAAACAAGTTCACGAATTCCTGTAGAATCCCTTGGGCAATATTTGATTCAGTTTTAAAAGTTTTTTTCGCAGGAAAGCAATCTAATACCTGCATGCAAAAGTAGGAAATGGTAGTACAAATCATCTTCTATGCAATCCTTTAAAACAAATATTCCTGAATATAGGAGAAATTATCTCAATTCGGTAGATTTACAGTTGCCCAATTCATCTAAGTCTCTACAAATACGGCCAAACTCTGAAGGAACCAATCGAGACAAGAAATTTATTTTTTCGGTCATTCTTGACACATTCCCCCTCTTGATAATCAGTTGTAAAAGTTTTTTGGTTACACCCAAATCCACAAGGTGCATTGGATCAAGGGGAAATTGGGAAACCATTCCGAAGTTATGGTTTCCAAGTATATTTCTTTGCTCCCTGAAAGGCATGCTATGATGCTCTACATCCAACCTGTTTTTAAAAGAAGAATCAGTTCGCAACTCATGAATTTTCTTGGAAAAACTGACTCGTCTTTTAATATACGTTCCTACTTGGTCACATTTAGGACAACCCTTTTTGCCATTATGCGAAAACACACTTGTGACAAAAGCCCGAGCTGGCGAGTCACAGGTGAACAGGCGTACTTCGAATTCTTTTCGAATGTATTTTGAACCAACTTTGAGTCCTTCCTTTTTAATTCTAGCAACTTCCTCGCGAAAGTCCTTCATGAAGTCATTGATGTTCCACGGCTTTTCAGTAACAGAAAAACACGCAATGACAAAAGGACTTTAGTGGGGATAAGCAACGATCGCTCCTAAAATCGCCCACAAAACTTTGTTGGAACTTTTAAAAAGTCTCAGTCCGTCAATTCCGAAATCGATTTGAATTTTATTGGTNGCACTTTTCTCTTGTTTGTCTTAAAAAGGCTTTTGGCACAAATGGGCAGGTCATTAACACCTATTTTCTTTAAACTTTGCAGCAAATCAGTCACAGTACTATGGGAAACACTGTTTCTGATTGCCCACGCCCTTATCACAGCAGCTTTTTCTTTAGTACCAGATTCCATATCTACCCCAGAACTCGAATTCTCCTGTTCCTCATGCTGCCACAAAGATTCGTTGTCTTCGTTTAAATCTACATTTATGGGCTCACTCTCATCAGTACCTACTGCTGCAAATTCTTCTAGCTTTCTGTACTTTTCTGCCCTAACCTCACGTTTTTCCTTTTCTACACTTAACGCGTTTCTAAAGGATTTCATTTTTACTTGCCTGTTTTCCTGCTAGCTCCTTTCTCTGTACCTAGATTCCAACGGGCTGACGCAGTATCAGGTACACTATCAGATGCGCCGGAGCAGTCCCCGGTGTAGATGCAGATTCCGCTTCTTTAGTTTTGCTTCAAATAGTACTGTTTAGTTTTGTTTTATATATTATTGTTTAGTTTTTTGGGTTTTCTTTATTATTTCACTTTATTTTTGTATTTATTTCTCTATTTATTCTAAAAATCCACTATTTTTCAGTTTTTCACAACCGCCGCTCGAAATTGTTGCGCAATGCAAAGGAAAAGTTATAGTGATGTACGCTTTTTACTATGGCTCGGTGTATCCTAAAAGTAACCGGAAAATAACCCGGTGTAGAAGGTTTTAGCTTTCACTTACCCAGAGAAAAGTTTTAGGAAATCCATCACTCTATTAACAAATTTCTTAAAAATTCTATAAAAATTTTTGTTATAAAACTATAGTGCATATACATATGTACATTAAAGTAGTCCAAAAATGTATGTGAAAAAATAAGGTCGGATTTTTAATGCCGCCACCCCCTAGGATTGTTCCATACCGAAAACAAATATACCCCTATTTTTTTATTTT